GTTTACTACACCCCAAAGAATGCACCAACCGCAGGATTGTGCGACACATGGGCGCTGCAAGCGCAAAGGGTTTGCTCGCGCCAGCATTCCATGTGCTGCACACGCGCGCGCATGTGCGCACCGCGATGGCGGCGGCCGCGGCGTCGATGCCCATGATTCGCGTGAGGTACGTGATGAGGTTAGTGGCGAGGCCATCTGATGAAGTTTTGCAAGCGGGAGACAAGGGAAGCGCCGCGTCAAGAGGCAAGAATGGGAGGTGCAGGGTGGAAACCACATGCAAGCTGGGGCGCAGGTCGGGACAGCAGCGGGGCCAGGATCGGGGGGCCTTGGCTCAGGGCGAGGACAGCAGGCCAGGCCCGTGTGGCGGATCACTCACAGTAGGCGAGCCTGAGAGGTGTGAGAGGGCGAAAGGGACAGCGAGGTGTGGGCGGGGCGGCGGGTTGGGTCGAGCGTGCTGCGGCATGGACTGCGACATGGCCGCACGCATAACGCATGCTTGAGCGCGGCCAGAGCAGCCAGGCAGAGCGGCCGCCTCCCCAGTCGGACTGCCGCTGCCACGCCTGCGTGCCGGCAGACTACGGTGCAATTTGGTATCCGAGGGGCTCACCTTTCACAGAGCTCGTTCCTGAGGCATGCAGAGGGGGGAAAGGCCAGGGGGGAGCGGCGGCAGCAGGTGTGTGGGATAAGCGTCAGGGCGGGGCCGGGCGCATGCGGGGACGACTGAAATGTGGCGAATCAGCCACGCATGCCGCTGGCTCCATGGAAGTTGGGTTCCGCGCAGGTGGCAGCGACGGCGCGTGTCTGGCGGTGCGGCGCCCAGGGTGGGTGGGTGGGGCCGACCGGCCGCAGCGCACAGTGGCTGGCAGCCGCCGCAGGCCCATTGGGGCAACCGCCAAGGGCATGCAGCCGCCAAAACACTTGAAACGCCCCCGACGTCATAAGGGCCGCAGCAAAAAAGCTTTGATAATTTCGTTGCTGTGTGTGCGGCATATGCAACCAGCCCTAAAGCGCTCATGCTGACAATGCACTAAAGCATCGCCTGCGACCGTGCTTGCGCAGCCGCTGCGTCGGCATGTGGCAGTCTACTGCCAGCAGCCGCGCCTCCCATCGACAGCCTCGTGGTAGATACATCGCATAAAACATAATCCTAGGCTCACCCAAGGATGAACGGGCAGACGGCGAACAGAGTGCTGCGCTTCTTGCGAGGTGGGGCCTCGTCGACCAGCAGGGGCTCCTCATCGCTGCCTGATTCTTCACGATAAGCGCCTACCATCGTGTCGGAGGCCCTGGGTGCCGACCACTGCTCTCAGACTGCCATGTGCCGGGCCAGATCAGCCCAAACAGCTGATGTTCGATGTTTCGATTGATTTAATTGTGTCCAGACAATGTTGCTATGTCCTTCGTCAATGAGGTGACAGGTGACCAGGAGACGGGGTGCACGTGCCCACGAGCGGCTTTCCCGAGCGGGATTTGCCCACGGGGGTGCCAACTGCTCAATGTCCCAGGTTAGCAAAGCATACGATAGGCGCCTTTTGGCTGAACTGCCAGCAGTAGTGTTGCTAGAACCCATGCACCTGGACTGCCGCCCCGCGTTCCGCTGCTCTCGCTGTGTCCGCCGCTGCGCATGAGTTACCCCGCCCCGCCCCCGCCGGGGCCCGCGCGCTGCTCCACGGCACCCGCCGCGGCGCCGGCCTTGGCCGCGAAGAAGGCGGGCGCCAGCTCGGGCAGCCATGCGGGCTCGATCCGGCACGCCTCGCGCGCGTACTGCTTGGTGGTCCGCACCTACGATGCATGATGTGCCGTCCACAGGCACGCTTTGGATGACAAACAAATCAGGACAAGCAAGACTGCGTTATGCACGTACACATCAGCACATTTTCAAGTGCAAGCCTGATTCCAGGCAGCGTCTGTCACAGGCACAGACCTTTGACAGCACGACCGGCTGTGTTGTGTCGAATTCGGATGCAAACATGCGACCTGGTTTTGGATGTCTCAACCCACCAGCTCGTTGAAGACGACGCACTCTGGCCGCTTGCCGCACAGCACGCTGGAGGGGTGGAGGTGGACCAGCTGGCCCGTGGCGATCACGCGGTAGCTGCGGGGAAGGTGGGGCAAGAGTGGTGCCGGGGCTTTCAGTGCGAACGCTGCAAGGGCGAATGCAAGGCAGGGCTGCAAGGCGGACGCAGGGCCTCCTGGTTGTTGCTCAAAGCAGACTAAAGATATCGCCCCGCCGCGCCTTTCCGGCACGCGCGACCGCCAGACACGGGCTCGGCAGAGCGGCCATGATGAAATTCACAGAGGCGTGTGCTGTTGTGCGCGTGCCCAGCTGGCTGGAAATCAATCGGCGCACCCACCCGCCGTCGGGCTGCCGCCGCGCAGCGTGCGGGAACAGGCCGGAAACGAGCGCCCGCTGCAGCGGCGCGGGGTCTGCGCCGCACGACTTGATGGGCACGTCGAGCGCCGCCAGGTGGCCCTCCAGCTGGTGGTATATGTCCAGGGCCTTGCGGACGGACCTGCGATGATGTCATAGTGATGTCTCAGTGACACAGACGAGGGGCGTGCCGTGAGGAGGGTCGCCACGGGGGCTGCGGGATCGGCTGGTGGGGCGACGTCAGCGTGACGTCAGCAGTGGGGGGTTTGAGGGTCAAAGAGATGAGGAACAGCGGGGTTGAAAGGGGGTCGAGAGGAGCCCCAGCAGAGGGTCTAAAAAGGCAGCGGGGTTGGGGCTGAGGAGGAAAGTAGAGGTTGGGTAGGGTGCAGATAGTTACATTGAGGGAGCGACTGCCGCACGCGTCCGCACCTGAGGTTGACGAAATTGTCTGACGCCCAGTTTGCCTGCTGCTTCCGCGGCACCTGGGATTGCGGAGCAGCCCCATGGGCGGTGGGGCGGTGGCTGTGCGGCTCTCGAGTATCCCTCAAGTATCAAGCAGGCGTGCTCACCAGGGTGCGTGCTGAGGAGAGCCTGCAGCACGGCTGGCATTGCCAGGCGTCTCGTCAAGCTCGGCAGCTTTGCGAATCGCTCAGGTGCACACAACACACACACACACACCGACACACACACAGACAGCATTCAACACACACAGAGAGACTCTTACACACACGCACACAAACACACAACACACACCATCACACACACACACAAAGAGCCTGCATCGAGCACCACCACCTGCAAGTACGCCCTGAGCACCGCCAGCAGGGTGAGGTGGTCCCCCTCCTGTGACACAAACTTGGCGCGAACCGCGGCCACCTCCTCGCGCTTGTTGCTGCGCGGCGGCGGGGTGGGCGGGGCGAGGTGGTCGTGAGGTAGCACTGGCAGCAGGTGGCGGGGGGGGGGGAATATCTTGAGGTTTTAGGGCGCTGAGATCCTGGGCTTGGGGGTGGCCCGCTCGCGTCATGAGTAATGCATGGGTGGTGGTGGGGGTCGGTTGAGGGGTCGAGTGGCACGGGCGAGGCCGGCCGGCCAGGGGAGCGAGCCACGACGCTTGCAGTTGCCCAATTGATGGGGGAGCACCTTTCCTGGTTGCACCTGCTCTTGGGGGCGCTTGGGATGGATTCATGCCGTTTGTGTGCAAACGCTGCAGCTCGCGTTCTGGCGGGCGCCCCCGGGCACACCCAGCCCCCGTGCCTGCCCAACTTCCGGCAACACGCCCCCGGGCGCCCTCACCGCGGGTTGTAGAATATGCTGTCAGTGGAGACCATGCCCACCACCTGCATCGCTTCTATGGCGCAGCCCAGGCGGCCCGACGCTAGCAGCACCTGCCAAAGGGGGGGTGCGGGGGCGGGGGTGCACCGCGTTCGTGGCCACAAGGGGGGAGAGCTGGGCGGGGGC